AAACATAATGTAAATGAAGGAATATGTAAAGTACAATGAATATGAGTGGAAAAAAACTTTTAATGCAAAAAAGTAACAAAATAAAACAAAAATTATCAGTAGTAGTAGTGGAACATACACCTATACATTTTTTAATCTCTCGGTTTTTCTCCTCTTTGTCATTTTTCTTACCTAGTTCCCTCAGAAAAACTTCTCTGAACCCTTTCTTGCATCATAATCATATTCATTAAGAGTAAAAATGAACAGGACTACATTATCAAGCAAACATTTAAAGGGAAACCAACAGTGAGGGTTTCTTATCCTGAGACCAGGAATGCATTAAATATGATTGCTTTTCTTTGTAAGTCTATGCATTTTATTTTCTGTCAGAACATTATTCTTAGAAGGAATCCAGAAGTCTTACTATGCTGTCAAAAGAGTCCATGACACAAAATAGCTTAAAAACGCAAAAGAAATCTTGGAAAAATCTTTACTAAGCTGTCACTGGTCTCTTGATCTTCATTCAATTAATGATGGCTTTTCCCAACAATTTCTTTTTATGTCTAAATGTAAAAGGCAGATGGAGTGATTGCTTTATGCCTTATTTAGTCATGAGCATGGTAACCAGGGAGCTCTGGTTGTGTGGTCTGCAGGGCCTATGGATTCACAGCTGCCTCTGAAGGAGAATGATGGGCAGTCTCCTGTCCAATCTACAGCCTCAGAAAACCTGGTGGAGGTCAGCTATGAGTTAGTTCCAACTTGGTGGCATGACTTTGAGTCTTTTTATGTTGCAGTGTTTAAAAATTTTTTATTTTATACTGGTTTATTTACAAAGTTTGAATACATTGTTTTTCACACCAGATTTTTCCCATTTCCTTCACCACCCCCACCCCCACCAAACTGTGTGACCCTATTAATAACACATAGGATTTTTGTTTGTTTGGGCTTTTTTCCCTACTAGTTTATTTACAAAATTAAAACACAAATTTGAACAAATTCTTTCAATTTCCCTCATGCCCGCCCTATCAAATTGTACAACCCAGTGATTAATCCCTCCTTTACTCTGCACATCCACATCCCTCTGCTTCTAGCCTCTCCCACCCTTCCTGGATCCTTATACTACTTCTAAAATAATGGTTTTATACAATATTTATCCTTATGTGACTAAGTTAGTTCACTCAGTCTAATGCTCTCTAGTCCCTCCCAAGTTAGGTAATGATTTACAAAGTTATTGCTCCTTCATGCTGCATAGTATTCCATTGTGTGAATGTACCATAATTTCTCAATCCATTCATTTGTGGTTGGACGTTTGGGCTATTTCCATGTTCTTGCGATGGTGAATAATGTTGCTATGAACATTGGTGTACAAATAACACACAGGGGATTTAAAAAAAAACTCTATGTACAATAGAGCACACTTAGACCAGCAGATATGTCAACTCAGGCTGAGCCCTCAAATATGGAAATACAAAGAATCTGGAACAGTTGTAAGCATACATTAATGACTGGAACATATAAGAAGCATGAATGTAGAAAAACTGGACATTGTTAAGAAAGAAATGGAACACATAAATATTGGTATACAAGGTATTGGCAAAACGAGATGAACTGGCATGGGGCATTTTGAATCAGATGATCATATGATCTTCTATGCTGGAGATGAAAATGTAAGGAAAAATGGGGTTGCTTTTGAAAGGTTACGTTGGGGGCTGGATGACATCTTGTGCTGACCACACCTTCTAGGAGACATCCCAATCTACCTGGTATAAGGTGACTGTGGTCAATCAGAAGGAAACCCAGCCATCAACCACATCTTGCATGAATGAGCAGCTCCGTCATTAGAAGCTAACAAAGGGCATCCAATCAACTTTTTCCATGAGAACTGACCACCAGTTTGGTCACCCTACCTCCAACTTACTGCCTGACCCTGCCTTTCTCTGGCCTCAGACAGTAAATCTACCCTGAGAGCCACTAATAAACTCTTTTGTTTCACTTCGCCTGGTTCTCTGCACCTTTTTTACCTTACATCTTGGTGCCGAAACCCGGGAGTCCAAAAGACTATTGCCGTAAATGGCCCGACATCTATGGTGACTGCCCATATTCATCCTGTAAAATACACACAACTCAAGAAAACCCTCTTAAGTCAGAACCACACAAAATCCTATCTTATGGCTATGGAGCAGAAATGGATAAAACAGTCTCTTTAAATATATTTGACCCTTGGACCCTAGATGGGCCAGAGGAGTGGAGGGAAAACTATACAGGACACCAGATAGTTCACGCCCAGGGGCTACCCTGAAAATTTGGAGAACTTATACTCGAATAGTTCCACCAGTTAGTGACACTGCTAAACAACTAGCTGACCTTTTCTAATGACATCTCCCAGCAAGAATCATCGCTACAATCAGCCTTACATCCACAGGCCAAACAACCTTTTTCTTGGCTACCCTTAATCCGCCAAGGAGTTTTCCTACTTAATCACACTGAAGTAAAAGATATCACTGATTGCTTTCTCTGTGCTTATTTGGACCACTCTCCACTCTTAACAGTGCCCCTCTCTTCAGCCTTCAACTATCCCATACAAACCACTACTCATCCACCAAAAGGCCCCTTATACTCTGTTTCCTTGTTCCATCCTAATGTAGATGCCCGCTACGCTCATTGCTATATCTCATCCTCCTCTTCCTCAGCTACCTGTAACACTGCCACAATAGTGTCAGGAAATATACATGCTCCCCCTGGAGGATTCTTCTGGTGCACCTTCACTCTCTATAAGCAATACCTCATCTTCATTCCCCTGTGTATCAACCATATTAGTACCTCAGCTCATGATGTACAGACATGAAGAACTCTCAGTCCTCTTTTGACTCACTCCACGGTTACCGCTCTAAATGAGCAGTCTTCCTTCCTGTACTGGTAGGGCTACCCCTAGCATCCTCTCTGGTTGCTGCAGGTGCAGGCAGTGGTGGCCTAAGCCATTCCATAATAACCTCAGCAAATTTAAAACAACAACTACAAACAGCTGTAGATGCCTCAGCTAATTCTTTAGCCTCTCTGCAGTGACAAATCACTTCTCTTGCTCAAGTAGTCTTGCAGAGCAGATGAGCTCTGGACTTGCTCACAGCTGATAAAGGTGGCACCTGTGTCTTTCTCAATGAACAATGCTGCTATTATATCAATGAAAGTGGTGTAGTAGAGGAAAACCTAAATACTTTACACAAACTCAAAGAAGAGCTGAAAAAGGGGAAGGGCCTAACAAACACACAATCACGGTGGTGGCAGACACCACTGTATACCTGGTTAGCCCCAGTTGTTGGTCCTCTCTTAATAGTTTGCTCAGTATTAATGGCTACTCCTTGTTTTTTTAAGTTTCCAGGAAATCTCTCGAGTCTCAGTAAACCAAATGTTGCTCCATCCGTATTCCCAGCTCCCCAGTGAACTTCCTTCCAGCCCACCAGCCAGCCCCATTAGCCACCCCCATTCAGCAGGGAGTAGCCAGAGAGACTACATCACCCCTATGTAAACAAAAAGGCTGGAATGAAAGGTCACCTTGGGGGCTGGATGACATCTTGTGCTGACCGCACCTTCTAAGAGACATCCCAATTTACCTGGTGTAAGGTGACTGTGGTCAATCAGAAGGAAACCCAGCCATCAACCACATCTTGCATGAATGAGCAGCTCTGTCATTAGAAGCTAACAAAGGGCATCCAGTCAACTTTTTCCATGAGAACTGACCACCAGTTTGACCACCCTACCCCCAACCCCCACCTATAAAGTTTAACCTGTAACTCTTTCTTTCTCACTGGTAACTTGACTGCCTGACCCTGCCTTTCTCTGGCCTCAGACAGTTAATCTGCCCCAAGAGTCACTAATAAACTCTTTTGTTTCACTTCACCTGGTTCTCTGCGCCTTTTTTTAACCTTATAGCTTTCATACTTAAAAAACCATTTCTAGATAAGTCTTGAAATATAATGTTCTGAGTGACAGGATTATTTGTCCTTACAAGACTGAATTAGTTCACTCAGCATAATGCTCTCCAGTCTCTCCCAAGTTAACAAGTTAGTAGGTGAAAAGGATTTTATGGGCTGATCTGGGAACCAGTTATCTGTTCTAAGTATCCATTTGTAAAAGAATTTAGAAATACAATCTTTATTGTAAGCTGGATATTCCACCCGCCCCCCCCCCTTCTTACTGCCACTGAGTTTTTTATGAAACTGTCTCCTTGACTAAAGTATAACCTTTCTGAGCGTGTCTTAGTTTTGAATGTCTATCACTTACACAGTGGAGTGATGGGATACGTTGCCTGTGTGGCTAGATTACTGTGCACAATTCACAGCAAAGGTAGTATTAAAAAGCATTGTGACTATAGTCTCCAGACACAACTCAGAATTCCCTTCAAGGTCACGAATCAGAATTTTCCTGCTTTATCACAGAGAGAGGAGTAGACAGGGTGGGTAGGAGTGAAGTCCTCCTACTTACATTGAAGGAAGAGGGTGAATGGTCCTTATGAAAAGCACATGAATAGTTTAGTCATGAGCAGGCGTACGCCAGAAGCAGAGGAAGCTTTTCATAGGGGTGTCTATGTGATTGGCACACACTGTGTAGCTTTGGGCACACTGACAAAGTACAGCAGGGAGCTGGGGACAGGGCTCTTCTCTTCTGAGACTAGGGTCTAGTTTGGCTCAGGAGGAGAGAGATGCAAAGGAAACAAGATCTTCGGTTGTCTCCCAGGTTATACAGATTTGAAGATCATTAAAAAAAACCCCAAAACCTAACCTAAATCATTGGACAGAAAATGGGAGTTACATAGAGGGATCCATTAAAAGGTAAAGTAGCCTGTTAGAGGCAGTGTGGAAGGACATCATTTGTTCACCTTACTCCTGGCTCCCAGGCTCACTGCGGGGTGCTCAGGTGGTAGTGGGAGTAAGTATGCAAGAGGGACCAGGAGATATGAGTTACTCTCATGTGATCTCAGTGGTACCCACAGGTGGCTGTGTCAGAGATGCTGAGGGTGTACATACTTTTAGCTGGTTCAGGTAAGGTCTCCAGGCCCCGTCCATTAGGCTCTGCCGGTATTTCTTTGTAAAGAAGCCAAGGTATGAAATGAAAGCTGTAATAAGTAGAACGTCTCCACACAATGTCCTCTCCTGCTGCTGGAAACTCTGCACAGCTTCTGCCCACCTGACATTTTCAGAAGCGAGGCCTCCAACCTACCATATCAAAGACGGAAGAGGAGAAAGTTCTGGTAATACTACAGGCAGCAGAGCAGGTAGAGATTCAGGTCGTGCAGAAACTCTGGTGGCCTAGTGGCAAGAAGCTGCACTACAATCTTGAAGGTATGTGGTTTGAGGCCACCAGCTGCTGCATGGGAGAAGGATGGGCAATCTCCTCCCATGGAATTAACCACCTCTGAAAACCTGCCAGAGGGTCAGCTATGGGTCTGTTTCAACTCAACAGTACATAACAACAACAACAACAGAATGCATGTTGGGGAGCGCTGGTGGTGCGGTCTGTAAGGAGTTGTGCTGCTAACCCGAAGGCCAAGACTCTCTAGTGCTTTGAATTCACCAGTGAATCTGAGAGAGAAAGATGCTTGGAAAACCACTGGTGGGTCAGCCAAGAGGTGTTTCTGACACAAAGGCAATGAGTTTATGATGGGAAAACATACGGTGCTTATTTAATAACAGGAAGCCTTCGAACATCGTATACAGGTCCTTCTGATCAACAGGGACTTGGACTTGAGGCAGCAAACATTTTAATAAATAAGTCCTGCTCTGTGCCATGCATTGTCTGGGCTGTGGAGAGGTGATAGTTTTAATCAATAAACAAGCCCTGCTCTGTGTCATGCATCATCCGGGCTGTGGGAAGGCTTTAAACATAGCCTCCCAGGCCCCCACCCTGCAGGTTCATTGTGAGGATTACATATGGCCAAAGGTGACAATCACTTAGCACAATCCTGATACGTAAAACATGTCAGAAGAATCAGGCATCTCTTCCTTTCTACCACTGACTGCTTGAAGATACGAGCATTACAAAATCAAGTCCAGCCTCTATAAATAACCTGCAGGGGGTGGGAGACAGCCCACTACAACATGAGGGCATGCAGAATGCCTTGGCCCAGTGCCCTCCATGGAGACACTTCTACCAGGGAAGAGAGTTCCTTTGTAAAGTAGACTGGCAGATTCTGAGCTTATCCTCTGTGTTAGGATAGTATGATTGGAGTGTTTGTGTTTTTTTGTTTTTTTGTTGTTGTTTGTTTGTTTGTTTTTAATCTCTGAAAGGTGGTATGATAGAACACTGGAGCTGGGAGAGACTTTGGCACTCTAACCATTGCAACATCCACTTTCAGCCTACAAAGACCAGAGAGGCAAACTATCTCAGTTAGGAGAGACAGGGACGCTCAGGAGTCCATATGTTCTGGCTCCTGGTACACACTAACTGCTCCCAGGAGGACCGACTTGGAAAATTCTCCAGCCAGGCTAAGAAGGCTGTGTGCTACATTCTGGAAAGCAAACAGGACACTGGATGGAAGATAGGCCAGCTTGGCCACCTGTGTTACCTCTTGTACTTCAGCAGAGGCACTATCTCCAGTCCAAACTGTTCAGTGAACTGGATCACTTCCCAGCCATGCAGCAGCTGCTTCAACAAATAAGTGCACAGACACACATGGGCGCTGCAGTCTCTTCATCAACATGCTGCTCAGGGCAATGATGGTTATTATGACTCATTCCACCTGAAACTAAAAATATCTGACCAACCGTTGGACAAGTAAATGGTGGCTGGAATAAATGTAAAAATGTACCAATTTTACTTTCCTTTGTTTGTGAGAAAAGGGCTCTGAAGGCTTTAAAGGAATGCCATAACCAAGACACTGCCTGGCAGGATCTTAGCCAGTTTATGTGATGGGAAATATAGCCATGAAGATGGAAAGGGACCACTGAGGCTTTGACTTTTCTACAGTTAAGATATGATGGGCTGTGTCTCTTCCCTTCACCTATGTGGCTACTCTGACTGATGGAACACAGTGGGAGCACATGGTGCTGGTTTTGGGGCTCAGGGCATTACAGGACTGGTACAGGACTTCGTTTCTCTTGGAACCCAGAGCTGCGTGTAGGATGTCTAGCTGTCCTGCTTGGAAAGCCCACGTAGACACACTCAGAGGCCACATTCAGGGGGAGAGTGGCCAGCAAGCCCAGCCATCCCTGTAAGGTTCCAGATGTGTGACGGACTTTGTCTCAGACTGTGCAGACCTGACAAGCCAACACAGTGGTCCCAGCTGTTGACACACAGCTCAGAGGAATTGGCCAGCTGGTCCCTACCCAAATTCTTGATCCACAAACTTGGGAGATATAATGAAACGGTGACTGCTTAATTAAATCACTACATTTTGGGGTAATTTGTTAGGCAGCATCTGGCACCCTGTCCTTTCTCTCCCTCTCATTCTCCCTCTGCCTGTGTCTCTGTCTCTCTGTTTCTGTCTCTCCCTCCCTCCTCCCCTCTCCCTCTCCTTCACACTCTCACCTTCTCCCTCTTCCTCACTGCCTCCCTCTCCCACTAACCCCCATGAAGGTCTTCTTCAGCAATGCTCAGCATCAACTAACCTCATCCATCTCTGTTTCCATCCCAGACCTCAGTCCCTAATCCTGGCTACCCCTTATTATCAAACTTTACACAGACAAGAACTTCAGAGTTTGCCCCTCTTGCTCTTACTTATTTTTCTGGTCAGTGCACAGACGTGTCTTGCACAGGCTGCCTGACACTCCCTACTTCCAAGTACAGGAAACTTCTTTGACCAGACCTGGTTTTGCATTCACACTTTCTGCATGATTCATGTGGATTGCAGCACATTTAGTATTTTTTTTTCCCCTGAGACAGAGTGATGCTAGGTTGTGCTCATATATTTGGCACGTCTGTGGCACCTGACAAGCTCTGCTAATATAATTAAAGTTCACACTGCTCAGGCTCACTTACCAGGCGGTTTGCAAGGGAGATGGTGCCTGCAGTCACCTCGGCTTCTTGCTGACACTTGAGTTTGTCTGCTGTTGCTCTCTCAAACTTGGCTGTGAGCTTTGCCAGGTTTTCATTAAGGTGCTGGTGGGAAGGAGAAAAAGCCCATGAGCCACTTCAACCCAGATCAAAGGTGCGTTAGGTGCATGTCTCAGAACACAGCCCTGAGATGAGGGTCTGTGTGTAAGTGACTTTTTTAAAAAATTGTATTATTTTTACATGTACCATCAAATCAGATCTGACTGGTACAGGAGGAGATTGCCTCCTCTTTCACTAGCAGAGCATCTGGTGGATTTGAACCGCGTACCTCTGGGATTACAGTGCAGCATCTTGCCACTAGGCCACCAAAGCTCCCTAAAAGTCACTTACCTCGGGAGCTCTGGTGGCCTAGTGGCAAGAAGCTGTGCTGCAATTCCTAAGGCACGTGGTTCGAGTCCACCAGCTGCTCTGCAAGACAAAGGCAAGCATTCTCCTCTCATGTGATTAACTGCCTCTGAAAACCCACTGGAGGATCAACTATGGGTTGGTTCTGATGCTACAGTACACAACAACCACCACGACCACAGCAGAAAGCTGGGCAGGGAAGGGAGGAAGCCGAGCTCAGGTGGAGACCCGTCAGGACAGCTGCAGCCTGGCCCTGTGATGGGCACGTGGTGTGGAATTCCAGCACTATCATCACCAAAGACAAGACACACTCCCACTCCTGGGTAAAGGCGAATGAGGTCTGATTGTGGGGTTCAGCATGTGAGAATAGAGTCTGTCTTTGGTTCCACTGGGGATAAATTATTCCAATCACCTGACAATGAGGCACAGGTGCTGGCTGTCAGAGCAGAAAGCCTATGAAACAGTCCACCGGAACCCAGGGGAACCTGCGAAGGACACAGGAGTGTCCATTGCAATTGATCTGATTCTAGGGAGTGGAGTTTTGGAACGTACGACATCTCACTGTTATAAAATCCTAGGAATATAAGGCCTCTATGTAAGAGTTTGACAGCGGCATGGAGAGACACAGATGGAAAGGGCCGAGGGATGAGGTCTGCTGGCATCAGGACTGGCTCTGGACAGGCTGTAGGAAGAGCCTCTGACTGGGTAAGATGAACTGGAGAGGACACCAATGCCCTAAGAGAAAGGCTCACTGGTATTTTCAGATTGAGAGCTGCAAGAACACAAGGAGATTAACTCTTTTCACTTAAACTCATCTATTCTTAGACATTTTTGAAGTTTAATTTTGTGATACAGTCAGTTTGGTAAAGTCAGAATTTAGAATTGAAGCAAGTAAGCTTGGTTGCCTCTGTTGTTAATGTGTACCACAGAGTCAGAACGAACCCATAGCTGACCCTCTGTGAGTTTTCAGAGGCAGTTAATCGCACGGGAGGAGACTGCCCATCCTTCTCCTATGGAGTCACTGGTAACCTTGAACTGCGTGCCTTCGGCATGGCAGTGCAGCTTCTTGCCACCAGAGCTCCCCTGGTTGTCACTAGAAAGTCTATTTTCAGAAACAAAGGCACGGGAGCAAATAGCAGACACCTCCAAATGGGTCTCACTTCTATGCGAAAACTGGAGTTCAGGTTGGTTTGTCAATTACAACAACCACAACAACAAAAAGGAAAATAGTGCCAAGTTCAGAGCCACCCAGACCCACAGCCATCAAATCAATTCTTATGCCCAACAGCCTGACAGGACAGAGGGGAACTTCCCCCTAGGGTTAGCCAAGTTATAATCTTCATGGAAGCAAGACTGCAATGGCGTTCTCCTGTGGAATGGCTGCTGGGTTTGAACCATTGACCTTTGGGCTAATAGGTGAGGGTTAACAACTGCACCACCAGGGCTCCTTTCAGAGAGCCAAGAAGTATCAAAAGTAGACAGGGAGCCATCCAATAGTTATTGCTCAGTGCCACCAACTACATATGACTCATGCGACTCTACGCACAACAGATATGAGCCTCGCCCTTTCATGCACCATCCCCGCTACCTCTGTCATGCTCAAAGCCCACTGTGGTCGTCACTGCGTCAGTCCATCTGGTGGAGGATCCTCCTCTCTCTCTCTCTGACCTACTACCGGTCCCAGCACGATGTGTCTCTCCAAGGACTGGTTCTTCCTGAGCACATGCCCACAGTGAGTGAGAGGAAATTTCTTGATCCTTGCTCTGAGGAACACTCTGGTTGCACTACTTTTGAGACAGACTTGCCATTCGATTGTTGTTGTTAAGTGCCGTCGAGTTGTAGACGACTCATAGCAACCTTATGAATGAGAGACCTGAACACTTGTATAACTTTCATCGTTTCTCCAAGTTCATAGAGGCAAGCTATTTCTGAAGTGGATGTCACTCCTGCCATGGGTAGCCATTATCACATTTAATACATCAATATCATAGTGTCAGCATCACAGCAACTACAAGTTACCTCTGTACAGCAAATGGACAGACCAGTGCTATGCCACTTAGAAGAATGTTTGACCAAAAGACAATTAAAATTAGCCTAAAGGCCACAGACTAAAATCACCCATCTTTGGCTTGGTAGCATCACTTTCTGTCCACTAGGCCAACTGAGCTCTCTCTATGTTGTTGTTGTTAAGTGCCATCAAGTCATAGATGACTCATAGTGATGCCATTCAATTAGTGATGGCAAAATGACTACACTCATCTTCCTTGCCTCCTTCCTTGGACTTCTCTCTAAAATTATGAGGAAACTGAAGAAGTTTCACATTCACGATTATAAGTAAATTGGTGAGGACCATTAGAGGGTCAGGAAATCCAGCAGATTGCTAGAAGACCATGTTGCTGGATGAACGGAAATTAATGGATGAAGGCAGAAGAAGTGCAGTTCCCCAGTGGGGGAGCTGATCAGCCTGGCAGCCTGGGGATCTGGAAATGCCAGGTGCAGTGGAGGATGCAGCTTAAAATGAGGGTGTTAAATGAAAGCCTTTTTGATCCCTCATCCACACATCCTGCAATGCTGCCAGGCATCCATGATGCCAGACAAGAGATTCAATCAACTGTCAGAGAAATGATACCACATGCTGGCACTGAGGATGCTTCCAGGTTAGCCCACGCGAACTTGACAAGCCATTTCTGTTAGACAGGCAGCTCTGCCTCTGTTTGTCGAGAGAGCTGGTGATCTCTATACACAAGGACAAGAAGATATTAATGAAAGCCTAGATCGACAGAAAGACAGACAAAGGTAAATTAAGCAGGGACAAAATTACCTGGAGAAAAGCAGAGCAGGCGTGGGACAACAATTGAAAAGCGTAAGAAGGGCCAGAATTGCTTTCTCATACTGACAAAAGATGTCTCATCTATAAAACAAGAGGAGGATGCTGTTAAGAACACAAAGCACAAATGCTGCTGTGGGAATTATAAGATAAAACAAAACAAAATCAAAGAAAGAACTAAAAGATAATACCGAAGAGCTGTCTCAAAGTAGAAGAAAATATGAAGCAAAGAAAAGATGATAAAAATATGAGAGCAGTGTAGGAAGCTCAACAACTAATCAGTATGCATCCCAATAGGATGGTGAGGCTCTGGAGGCACAGTTCATAGAAGTCACCCACTAACCCCAGGGCTGCTTCTTTCTGGCTGTTCGAGCCACCAGTGTGCCCAGGAGAAAGATGAGCCATTACTTTCCATGTGGTTTTTAGCCTTGGACACCTGCTGGAGAGTTGGCAAATAAACGGCTTCTGACTCAATGGCAATGAGGAGGAAACCAAAAATTTAGAAAAGGGGTTATCAAAGAAACAATACAAAGTGATTGAAGGGCTGAATGAAATGGGTTTCTACATGTCATGTACAATGAATTAAAATGAAGGATATACAGCTGAGCATATCAAACTAAGGTTTCAGACACCAATAATAAAGGTCAAAAGACTTTCAGAAAGAAGGGGGGAATAGAGTATTTATTAAAAAATGAGACCATGTCATCAAATTTCTTATCACACAAGAGGATATCATTTGGTTTTATCCTCATCAAACAGCACAAAGCAGCAATCCAGAGCAAGGGGGATACCAACTCAGAATCGATACTTGGCAAAGAAAAACATTTCCATGCTATAGATTTACCTCTCACCATTTCTGAGAAAGTTACTTGACAATGAGCCACAGAAGAAGAAAATAAGAAACCAAGTATAAAGCATGGGGTCCAGAAGTCATTGGAACCAATGTAAAAAAGAAAATCCAGTAAAATTTGTTGCTTCCTATCATTGTCTGTAACCCTGGACCAGGGACTTGAGGAAAAGGTCTGGGGTGACAAAATGAGGGCTTGACAGAATGCTAATCTTTGTATGCTTTTGTTGTTGTGTACCGTAGAGTTGGAACCGACCCACAGTTGACCCTCTGACAGGTTTTCCGAGGCAGTTAATCACACAGGAGGAGATTGCTCATCCTTCTCCTACAGAGCAGCTGGTAGGATTTGAACCACGTGCCTTTGGGATTGCAATGTAGCTTCTTGCCACTAGGCCACCAGAGCTCAAACTTTATATAGAGAGTTTAAAAAAATAATTGCAGAAATAAACTTAATGGAAGAGGGGGGAAAAAATAAAAACAGGAATTACAAGAGGGTAATTACTGTATATCACTGAGTTCTATATGAACATCATCACAACCATGGAAAATGGACTCTGTTGGATATAATTTTCCAACCAGTCCCTGGACATATATGGGATGGTTAATTTTGGTTACAGAACAGAGTGTAGGTACTTTTGGCCTGGGCAAGTAAAAAGCAAAAACAATGAAAAGCAATGACGAGAGACAGTGGGGGTGGAAGGCAGGGAGAAGAACTGCAGGAAAAGGTAATAGTTTCATCTTGAAAACCAAGAGCTCCACAGAAGTGGCCTCTGTGTGACAGAAGCAGAAATAAAGGTGGTTGTTATTATTTGACATCAAGCAGATTTCAACTCATGATGAACTCATAGGTACGCAGAACAGGATTATGTAGGCTGTGACGTTTCAAAAGCAGATAGCCAGGCCTCTCCTTTGAGGTGCTTAGGGATGGGTTCAGTCAGTCAACTTTTCAGTTAGTAGTTCAAGCCCCTTAAATGCCAAACCCTTGCAGTGGAGGCAATTCTAACCCAGTGACCCTGTAGGACAGACTTGTTACTGTTGTGTGCTTTTGAGTTGGAATTGACTCATAGCTGATATTCCAGTGAATTTTCAGAGACTGTAAATCACACTGGAGTAGAAGACTCAAATTTCTCCCTTAGAGCATTTGGTGGATTCAAACTGAATGCCTTTGGGTTGGCAGTGCAACTCCTTACCAGTAGGCCACCAAAGATGGGCTAGAATGGCAAAATAAAGATTATGTCAATGAGAAATAAGTGCTACCACTATATTAGGAAGACAAAGAGATTAATGACATATCCTTATCAGCAAACTTAGTCTTTAAAAACTAAGGTGTGTCTGACTCAAACTATGATCTTTTTAATCACTTGCTGTGCATCTGAGAGCTGGCAATGAATATGGATGACGAAAGAAGAAATGACGCCTGTGAGCTGTGGGGTTGGAGAAGAGCACGGAATATGAACTGCCAAAGGAACAAATAGCTATGCAACCAGAGTGCTTCTTATAGGCAAGGATGGATAAGCTTTGTCTATCGTACCTTGGTCATGTTGCTAGGAGAGGCTATTCTTTGAAAAGAGACATCATGCTTGGAAAGGTGGAGGGTCAAGGAAAGATAGGAAGACCCTCAATGAAGTAGACTGACAAAATTACTGCAGCAATAGGCTCATGTATGTCAGGAATTATACGGATAGCACAGGATAGGACAAATTTCAGATCTGTTGTTCATAGGGTTGTTATGAGTTGTACTTGATTTGATGGCACCTAACAACAACAACATCATCAGAAAATGAGATAGTGAGAAAAAGAGGTATTAACATAGTACATAGATAAGTCAGAAATAGAAATGCCAGAGGAAAGGTAGATAACGTAACAGGATCAGATGATTGCAGTGTTGAAAAAGCACTGGGACAATAGCGACATGCAGCTTATTTGTCTCCTCAAATGGGAAGCCACTACTTAGCTCCAGGGTCAGTTAATGCTATGCATCAATCTCCTCATATTTCGGGATTGCCCTGAAATCAGATTTTTACAGAAAGCTCCTGCTGTTTTAAAGTTGGCAGCTAATTAAATAATTTTCCAACATTATTCTCAAGTCGACTGAAAACATGAAATCAATCGGTAGCAGGCTCTGATGCAGCATTAATAATTGGTTGATACAGAAAAAGAATTAAAAGGGCAGCGACTGTTGTTTCTCATATGAAGCTCTTTTCTACTATCACATATTTTTATTTTTTGTGTGATTATATGTAGGCAATCCTGGGTGGTATTAATGGCTAACATGCTCACTGCTAAAGAGAACTCAAAGGTTGGGAGTTCAGGTCCACCCATAAGCATCCTGGAGGAAAAGATCCATTCTGCTACTTCTGAGGATTCAGCCACTGAAAACTGTATGACACAGACTTCAGCTCCTGACACACATGCGGTTTCTGTGACTTGAAGGAATTAGCATCAAGTTGATTTGGGTTTGGTATTTACATGCTCATTAAAAATGTCTTAGTTGTTTTATAAATATTATCATTTTTGTAAGAAGCCCTGGTGGCATAATGACTTAAGCTGTTAAGTGAATGTTTGGCAATTGGAATCCTTTTTTTTCTCATCAGGAGAAAGATAATCAATCTCCTCTAGTAATGATTTTACAGCCTTGGAAAGCGGGTGAAGGGTCGCCATGAGCAGGAACTGACGTGAAGGCCCTGGATGTGGGTGACCAATTCTATGCACCTGTAACATTTTAGAAAATGTTAATGCTTATCACAGAAAAAAAAATTAAAAGATACAGATAAAGAACGAGTTATCTAGAATCCACCCAGAGGTAATCTCCACTGTTAATATTTGTGTGTGTTTATTTCTATTACATATGTAATCACATTATAGCAAAGCTAAAGTGTATACTCCTTAGGGGTGTAAGGCACACAGAGGAGTAGTGCTAACATAAAGGCTGCACTCCTCATGGTTCAAATCCACGAGCAGCTATGCAGGGTGGGGGAAGGAAGAGTAATTCCCTGTGCAATTTACAGCCTCAGGAACCTGCTGGAGGGGCAGTCAGTTATAAGCCAGTTCTAACTACATGGCAGTGAGTTTGAGTTTTAATCTCTTTTGAAATGTGATTTCTATTTGTTTTAAATCATGCATTTTGAATATAAAGTGCTTTGATGTTGCTGTGTACTGTCAAGTTGGAATTAATCAATAGTTGACCCTCTGGCAGGTTTTCAGAGGCTGTTAATTGCCTGGGAGGAGATTACCCACCCTTCTCCTGCTGAGCAGCTTGTGGATTCGAACCACATGCCTTTGAGATTGAGACACAGCTTCTTGCCACTTCGAATTATTCAAAAAATCCTGAAAAGAAGGCTGGCAGTACACATGCAGGGAGGAATTTCCTTACCCTGGGGGCACCTCCTGTTCGTGAAAGGGTTTGCCTGTCTCCTCTCTTGTTGGTGTAGGAGGTCGCAATTCTTGCGGTATTGGTAGGTATGAGGATGGAGAAAAGGGTATTAAAAGCAAGAACTCATCTACTTGGAAAATATTTTGTCAGAAATGATGTGCCCTCCTAAAGTCGCCAAGTATTTCTGAGCTGTTCTTGGTTTCACAGTCTGAGTGGACCATGTGAATGCTGGCTATTGAAAAGACAGAAACATTGGGAAAACAGTCCCTTCACACCAAATGTTCTGTTGGTTAAAATGGCTGGAGTAAAGAGTGCTAGGGACGGCAGCACTTATAGCACTTTTCCTGGGAAAACAGGGAAACACGGGAATCACTGGCCCATTTATTTCTCAAAAGAAGGAATGGGGCAAAGTGCTCTGCACCTCAAGTTCTTTGAAGGCCACAGTCATGGTGACATCATCTGCCTTAAGTAAACTGGCTTGTCAACACCTGGGTTTATAAAGCAAATGTATTGACAGGAAACTAGGTGTTTTACCAAAGCATCTTTTCTTTACAAAGCGTTGGGTTTTGAGGATTTTGAATTAATGCCTTTGATTAGAATTCAAACTAATAACTAAGAATCCCATGTTTCAGGAGGCATGTCTATGCTCTGCACAATTTAGAAGACTCTTTATTCTCAGCGTGTATTTTCAGGGAGCTGCAATGCTCATCAGCTTGAAAACACTCATGCTCTACGAGAGAAAGAAGGATAATCTCCTCCCTGAGATTTATAGCTTCTGAAAACCTGCTAGAAGTTCACCTAGAGTCAGTTCTAAATTGACAGCAATGAAGGTTGCTATTTTTGTTGTTGTTGTTGTTATCACCTCGACAAATTCCCAGGCAGAATGTTATTTGCCTAGGATGCATGTGATAAATGAAAATCCAGAAAATGTTAGGGTTTGAAGTCAATGGTGTACTTGCATGTGACCTTACACCCGGTTGAAGGAGGGAAGCAGAGGTGACAGCAAGAATACAGTGGTCATAACAGTGGTGGAAGCAGCTCCTGCTGCCACGCTGATCTTGCATGACTGAGGTTGTGTGTGTTCGCACATACACCTTGAGTTTGAGCTTCACGTGTGTCATCTCCTTTATCTTCATAGCAAACCCTCAAGATGACAAGATTCTTGTGTGTATTTTATGGAGATGGAAATTGAAGCTTGGATATCCTAAAGATCTTGCTAAAGGCCACCTAAACACAATAGCTTGGATGAGAACTGAGAACTAACTGTGGTATTTAATCCACTATACTATCCTAGTGGCTTTTCATTTTACCTCTAGCTTTGCTAATACCCACTTTTAACAGCAAAGGTGAAGTTCAAGGGAAATCCTTCTTACGCAGGTGTGAGCTTGAGATTGTCATCACCATCTCCTGATCCTGGGTGAAGCAGAACCCCAGCATCAATACAAGGTTTATAAAAATTATTTTACTGTTTTGCTTTTATGGTCAACAGATGCTACCCTAAAACCCCAAACATTTCCAATAAAATTTGCAGACAGTATGGAGCATGCCCAGAAGTCCCATTTGTCTTGGTGGTTGAGTGGGAGTTGGGCAAACAGTTGGCCAGGACTGAAGACAGAAAGTATAAAAGGTAAGGTAAACCTTAAATCTCAAAGGGAAAAAGCAAAGGAATCTTTAATCTTGACCTTATTTTCTTTGCCATCAAAACTGTGAAAAATATTTGCCAAATTAATCTATGACTAATTATCTGGGTCCATGGATACTGTTGTTTATACTTATCTTTCATCTTTTCTATCCTCAGTGAATAAAGGGGAAAAAACTTTTGCAGTTTGACACTGTGTACTACAGTCGACAAGCTCAGACCAGGCAATGAGTGGCGAAATCACACCAAATGGCTCTGATTCAGTGTCCCCATGTGAGTCAGAGAAAAACTGTGCCTCATAAAGTTTTCAATGGCTAATTTTTGGAACTAGACCATGAGGTTTTTCTTCCAAGAACATGAACTTTAACCTTTGGATTAGCAGTTGAGTGTGTAACTTGCATCATTGAGGGTTCCTGGACCTAGATAGTATTTGAGAAATTAAGTGTCTGAAGAATTGAGGCCTTTGAGTCATGGTGTTGCAGAAGAGTGGTGAAATCCCATGGAATGCCCAAAGGACAATCAACTATGTCTTTGGAGAAACTGAACCCAGTGTGCTCTCTGGAGGCAAAAGACGGTAAAGCTCTGCCTTACATCCTCTTTGGGCATACCGTTAGGAATGGCTAGTCTTGGAAAAGGACATTAAGTTGGGAAGGGTGTAAAAGACTTGTTGGAAATTGTTGAGACAATTCATCTCGACAAGATAAACTGACACACTGGAACAAGGGGTTCATGCATATCAGAGGGGTGGGGAGGATGGCACAGGATAGAGCAAGGTTCAGATTTGTTGTTCACAGGGTCTCTAGTCAACTTGATGGCAACCAATAACAACATTAAAAAATATCAGGAGAGTTTGTATAAAAGCTTGGTTTCCCCACTTCCCAAAATGAGAGCAGTGGCTATAAGGTAATGGGCAGGTAAGCCTGTGTTAGGAGGTGTTCAGAACCAGGAGAGTTTGGGCTTCACTTACAGCAATCTTGGCTTTAATGGCTGCGAGCTTCTCTTGGGCAGCTGTGAGGTCCAAGGTGGCTTTGCTCAGCGCTTGACGTTTTGGTTCCACATCGCAGAACACCTCATAGAACCTCACAATATTTATGACCCAGGAGCAGAGACCCGAGGCTGCGTATGATTTGGTGGCCACAAACTCAGGATTGAACTCGGGGTCTTGCAGGTATGGCCTGATGGCTTTGAGGCAGTTCTCATGGATGTTCTCCTTGTCAAAGTTGATGAGGGAGTCCAGGAAGCTATCCACCTTGGCCATGGTGACCTTGGCGGCCTTCCAACTCCGGTCCTTGGGCACCTTGCCGCCAGGGGCCATGAGCACCATCACTGCAGCACTGACGTTGCTTACCGCAGAGGGAGGGGATCCAAATGACTTCAGCTCTGTCAGGTTGGTCTGTGAAAGAGAAGGCAGCTGTTAGGGGGAAACGAATGTCCTTTCTTTGTCCTGGGACCCTAAAGGAGTCAGGCTCTAAAGTGATGGCTCTGAGAGAGTTGCCCTGAGGCCTGAAGCATCCCTCTGAATTGAACTATCATGACTCATCAAAAGGAAACCAAAGCTACTCCCCAGTGGGTTCAGACTTCCCTGAGTGGTTAGCTGAGACTCAGCTACGTTCTTTAAACACATCAGCTAACTTACAGCCCGTTAGAAACTCACAATTATTTCACATTCAACTGAGAACTATAAGGATGCCAACATACTCTGAAATATGCAGTACACCATGAATAAAAAATAAGGTTATTATAAATTAATTTCTCTCCTGGATTGAGGAGAATAAAACTGTATGTAACTCAACTATCTTTTTTTCTTCTCTGATTAAACTGCTTTGTTCCATAAGCTCGTTCTAACCACACTTGACTGTCCTGACTTCTGGTAACAAAGAGGCATTTTCTGCCAAGAAATAATTCATAGAGAAAGCGTGGCACAGCCTCTGCTGTCAATTGCCCCTGTATGGACTTGGACTTTAAGGTTTCACTTGCTTTAGAAAGACAGAGTTGAAAGGGTTGTCCTGGACAAGCCACTGCACCTTTTGAGGGCTCAGGGGCTGAAAATGTGAATTGGGGGCAGGGGAACCCACTACTCTGTAAGTGATCTTGTGCCATAAAAGTAATATTGATTTAAGATCTAGCATGACTGTCAATGAAAAGCCTATAGCTGGGAGGGGGAAGGTGGGCAGGGAGAAAAGTGCAACAATGAATGAATGGAAATCCAAAGTCTGTAAATTTTCATTAAAATTAATAATAATAAAATAAATTTGAAAAGGAAAAGTCTATAGCTTAGAAAGTTCACATGGGTGGTTTTGTGAGTGGAGAAAAACTTGTTTTCCAATTCCCACAGGGTTCTTGTGGACAATCCACAGTGAAGCAGACAATTTCTGTCTCACAATGTTCCCCATCTGTGGGTTTCCAGGCCCAGCAGTCTGACCTTGATGTTAATCGAAGGGTTGGCAGTTTGTCTCACCCAGAAGTAACATGGAAGAACAGTCTGGTGATCCACTTCTATAGAGATCCCAGCCAAGAAATGGCTGTGGAGCAATTCTACTGTGTACCCACAGACTTGGCACTAGTACAAATAGACTCAAAGGCTACATTTTTTTTTTTTCTAGTTGTTTAGTGGAAGTAGATAAGAAATGCTTTCCATGGCTTTACACTTGGCCAAGATAAACTTATCAGGGGGGAAGAATGAAGAAAGGTGTGAGAGCATACTTGTGACAGTGGCCTCTCTTGAGGAGGAAAAGGGAAAAGTGAGAACAAGTTTTGCATAGCCCTCCAAATAAAATCAATCAAAGGCCCACATTAAAAAACAGAACAAAACAAAACAAACCAACCCAACAACAAACAACAAATACAATGAAAGATGAGAAGGGAAGTATGTAAGAAGTTCAGTAAATGCCAAACAAGATATATAGAAAATCACCAAAACATATTATAAACAAACTTTCCAAAGTGAAGTAGAAAGAAAAAAAATTGAAAGCAACTTGGGAAAAACAAAAAGGTACCTACAGAGGAGAACTGATAAGACTATGCTCTGATTTCTCAGAAGAAACTATGCAAGCAAGAAGGAAGAGATGACATATATCAAACTCTGAAAAAAAAAAGCCAACCAAAACCTATTTGCTCAGCAAAACTGTCCCTCAAACATGTAGTGAAATTAGGAAATTTATAAATAAGGAGAAATGAAGGCAATTTATGAAAATTAGACCTATCTTACAAGAAATACTAAAGAGAGTTCTTTCTTTGGATAGGGAACCACAAACATCAGACAACAACTTAACATTAACACAATAACAACATCATCTGGAAATCAACCTGTTGTTATTGTTGTGTGTCAGGTCAGAACTGACCCATAGTTGACCCTCCAGTGGGTTTTCAGAGGCAGTTAATCACATTAGAAGACAATGTCCATCCTTCTCTTACAGAGCTGCTGGTGGATTTGAACCACATGTCTTAGGGATTGCAGCACAGTTTCTTATCACTCATCTACCAGAGCTACCTGGAAATCAACATAGAGGTGCAAAAATTCTCAACAAAATTGTAGCCAGTAAGATCCAACATGATATAAAAAATAATTTATCATGATCCAGTGAGGTTCATACCAGGCATGCAAGGATGGTTTGACATAAAAAAAATCAGTGTAATCTGACACACAAATAAAACAAACACAAATAACCATATGATCATATCAATCAATAAAAAAAGGAAAATAATTAACACTTCTTCCTGATAAAAATATCCAACCATCCCCACAGTGGGTTTTTGGATGTTGTGAACTGCAGCAGAGCAGATTGTCCACCTTTCTCCCTTGGAGCCGCTAGTGGATTCAGACTACCAGAGAGGTACCACCTTTGCATTAACAGCACAAGTCCCTATGCAAGAAACCACCAGAGGTCCCAAGCATTTCTGAGTGAATTTTTCCTGATAAAAACACTCAACTAAATTAGAATAGATTTAGGAAAGAGTATATAGATAATTAACACTGTATTAGAACATATGAAGAGAAGGAATGTCCAAGAGGAATATATGATCATGCATTATATGTATAAAAACAATCTGGAACAAGGAGGAGGGAGAGGGAAAGTGGGCAGAAAATGTGCAAAAAATGAATAAAAAAATTAAAAAGTAAAAAAAAATTTAGAACAGAAATTCTTCAACATAATTATGGACATATAAGCAAAGTCAATGACCAGCTTTTGTCTTAATGGAAAGAAACCAAAAACATACCCCCTGGAAATGAGAAGCAGACTAGGATATGCTTTTTCACAATTCCTATTCAATTCTGCATAGGAAGGGCTAGCCAAAGCAACAGGCAATAAGGCAAAATAAATGGCATACAATCAGCAATGAAGGAATAATATCTATTTTTACAGGTGATATGATCCCACGTGGAAGGTCAGAGAAGATCCTCAACACGATGGATTGATATGGTGACTGTAACAACAGGCTCTGGCATGTCTCAAATTGTGAGGATGGTATAGGATAGGGCAAGGGTTAGATCTACTGTTCATAGAATTGCTGTGAGTCATAGAGACAGCTCTGTTGGCCTAGTGGATAGAAAGTTATGCTACCAAGCCAAAGGTGGGTGACTTTAATCTGTGGCCCTCAGGCCCGGTTTTAATTGTTTTTGGTCAAACATTCTTTTAAGTGGTACAGCACTGGTCTTTCCACTTGCTGTACAGAGGTAACTCATGGTTGCTGTGATGCTAAACACTGTGACACTGATGTGTCAAATGTGATAAGGGCTACCCATGGTGGACAGTGTTTGGTGGCGCTCCCCAGTTAAAACAAGCTTGGAAGTAGGAGTGACAACCACTTCTGAAATAGCTTGCCTCCAGAAACTCTATGTACTTAGAGAAATGATGAAAGTTATACAAGTGTTCAGGTCTTTTGTTCATAGGGTCGCTATCTATGACTTGATGGAACTTACCAACAACAACAACAATGATCCTACATATAGAAAACTCCAAAGACTCAGCAAGAAAATTATTGGATGTAGTTGAAAGAGTAAGCACAAAAAGCCACATTCAAAAATTAGTAGGATTTCTTTAACAAAGAGAATGCTAAAAAAGAAATGAGAAAACAATATAAAATTTCCAATAGCCACTCAAAATAGGAAAAGTGGTACTGTTGTTGTTAGGTGTCATCAAGTTGAGTATGACTCCTATTGGCTCTATGGATGATAGATCTGAACCTTGTGCTATCCTGTGGCATCCTCATCATATCTGACACACTTGAACCCACTGTTGTAGTCACTGTATCAATCCATCTAGTTGAGAGGTCTTCCTCTCTTCTGCTGACTCTCCACCTTTCCACACATGATGGCCAATCCCAAGGATTAGCCTCTCCTAATAAAATGCCAAAAGTATAAGAGATGAAGTTTCAACATCTTTGCTTCCAAGAAGCACTCTGGGTACACTTTTACCAAGACTTATCTGTTTGTTCATCTGGCAGTCCATGAGCGATTTAGTACTCTTCTCTAGCACCACAACTCAAAGATATAAATTCATTTTGTAATCATTATTTACCATTTAGTTCTCAGATGCATAGAGGATGATTGTAGAGACCATGGCCTAATCAGACACATCTACCCAAACTGATATCACTGCTCTTCAGTAGCATGGAGAGGCCCTTGACAGTAAACATTCCCAGTGCAATACATCTCCTGATCTCCTGACTGCTGGTACCAAAGGTGCCAATTGTGGATCCAAGTAAGATGAAATAGTTGACAACTTCAATATTTTATCCATTTATCATGATATTGCATATTGGTCCAGTGGTGAGGATTTTGGTCTTCTTGATGTTGAGATGAAATCCATATTGAAAGTGGTAGTCCTTGGTCTTCTACAGCAAATGCTTCAAGTTCTCCTCACTTCCAGCAAAGGCAAGACTGCATCACCTGCATAATGCAGGTTGTTAATGTAGTCTTCCTTAAGTCATGATGCCAAATCCTTCTTCAGTCCAGCTTCTTAAATAATTACTCAGCAAACAGATTAGATAGGCATAAAGAAAGGATACATATACCTTTTCTGATTTTAAATCATGCTGTGTTCCCTTGCTCTGTTTGTACAACTTCCTGGTCTAGGTATAAATTTCATATGAGCACAACTAAATGTTCTGGAATTCCCATTATTTTCACTGTTAGCCATAGTTTGTTATAATTCACACAGTTAAATGCCTATGCATAGTCAGTAAAACACAAATAGATATTATTCTGGTATTCTCTATTTTCAGCCAGGACCCATCTGACATAAGCAATGATATCCCTGGTGCTTTGGCCTCTTCTAAATCTAGCTTGAACTTCTGGCAGTTCTCTGTCAATGTACTGTTCAAGCTTCTGTTGGATCTTCGGCAACATTTTGCTTGCATATGATATAAATGATATTGTTCAATAATTTCTAC